TCAAAACCACAGAACCTGCCTGCAATCACCTCTTCTCAGGGTGTACAGAGATTGAAATAGTGTCTCTGAATAGATACCTTGGAATTTTTATCGATGACCGTCTCTCTTTCATACCTCACATCCAGCAGCTGGCAAAGAGACTAAAATTGAAACTGGGTTTTTACTTTAGATTTAAGTCTTGCCTGTCCTTTGAGGCCAAAAAGAGACTGGTTGCTGCCACTTTTATGTCTGTGTTGGACTATGGAGATATGGTATATATGAATGCTTCTGCTCGAAGCCTGAGTGTTTTAGATTCAGTTCATCACGGTGCTTTAAGGTTTATCACCAATTTTAAGTCTTTTACACATCATTGTTTGTTGTACTCTCATGTTGGACGGTCAGATTTGACCACACAAAGAAAAAAATACCGGCATATTTTAATTTCTAAATGTATTTTAGGCTTGCTTCCTTGTTATTTACAGGTTTTTGTTTTTGTAAAAGCTGCAAGTGGTTACAGTCTGTGGTCCCAGGATCTATTGCTACTATCTGTTCCCAAGGCTAGAACTTGAATGGGGAAAAAAAGCTTTTAAATTTGCTGCTCCCTCTACCTGGAACACTTTACAAAAAGATCTGAAACTTCAAGAGCTGATTTCGTTAAACACTTTAAAAGTGTTTATAAATGACTTGGAGGCAAAAACATCAGTCTCTAGATGTTTTGACAGATGATTATTTTGCTAGTTATGTTTCTTATCTCTGCTGATATGTTTGTTTCTTATCTTCAAAATGTAATTTCACCATGTATTATGAGTATGATGTCTGTGTGGATGCTGTTGTGACCTTGTCTGTCTGTCAATTGTGCTGTTGGTTGTCTTGGCCAGGACACTCTTGAAAAAGAGATTTTTAATCTCAATGAGCCTTCTCCTGGTTAAATAAAGGCTAAATAACAAAAACAAACTAAGAATTTTTTTTTTCTCAATGCTGGTTTCACACATCTGTAGAACTGGACCCGAATAGCCGAATAGCCGACGATTCGCTCGCTGTGTTGGAATCCGGATATCAAACTTGATCTCCGAATATCCCTGCCGCCATGGAAACGGAGCCGTCACCGCTAACCTAAACACAGAAACTGGTCTTTGTAGCCAAATGCGGCCTGTGTGTCACGCTCACTTCAGGTCGTCAGAGCCTGAGTGCAACGAAGGCAGGGGACATCCTGGACAGGTCGCCAGTCTGTCACTACTACATTTAGAGACAGACAACCAAGCTCGCTCATACACACTTGGACAAAATTGTTGGTACCCCTCAGTTAATGAAAAACAAAAAACCCACAATGGTCACAGAAATAACTTGATTNGGTACACTTACTTCCTCCACAGAATACTACATCTTTTCAAATTTCTGCTGAAAAAATGATTGAGAAAGATAATTTTTCTTTTCTTGTGGCGTTGTTTAAATACACTGCCTTTATCTGAGAGGCACAGGTTTCAAAGATGATCAAATGCTTCCTTGTCAAAATATGTCAAAAAAGCAAATAATTTCCAAGTGTTCTTAACTGTTATTTTCATTCCATGTATCTGTCATACTGAACATTTCATCTGTAGTTTACTAAATACTTCCTGAACTGTATATGTAGCTTAAACAATTGTGCCTGATTATGTCGGCAGTATTGTTTTTTTAAAATTGCATTTTGTGGCTACCAGGGATCATGGGGACTGGACAGAAAGTCTCGACTGCAGCCAAATGTCAGAGACAACATGTGATCTTACTGCTCACCTCGTGCCCTTGGACAGGTAGGAACAGGTCTATGTCCTTTACCAATACATCTTCAACAGGCAGACAAGCAACACAGAATATCTTCTTTATTTAAGTAAATATTAATATGTAGTTTTGTTTGACAGGACCTACTCTGCTGACATTCAAATAGAATCTGCAGATATTGACGACAACTCTGATCCGGACGATTTACCTCACACTTTTTCTCCACAGTTCAACCCCTATAGAGAGAGTAAGTATCACATGCACAAACCATACTTGTATATTTGTGTGGACCCTCACTGACATAGTCATTCCTCAGCCACTTACTCCCTAGGCCCCTACCTCACAGCTAGATACTTTTCAGGGTCTCCTGGTGTCGTGTGGTGTATGGGACACAGGATGAGTGTTTAAATAAAACTTTATAACCTTAAATTCTTTTCTAAATTAACTTTTTTATTATTTTCCTCAAAAAAAAACTTTTTAAATGTTTGTGGACTTTTTTAAAAGCCTTTTATTTACGTTTTTTTTTTTTTTTTTAGATTTTTACCCTTCAACAATGCTTAAATAACTTTACATAACCTTAGAATAAAGCTTATATGGGGTGCTGGAGGATCTCAGGAAGGCAACAGCTTGCTGTGGCTGGTCCAGACCCCCTCCGTTTTCCTGATGAGCGCTGGAAGGCAATGGCTCACCATGGCTGTTTCCACGCTCGCTGGAAAAGTACTCGTCCTGGCGTCCTCAACCAAGTTCTACAAACCTATCTGGGCAGGAGGCAGTAACCTAACGGTGTCAACAAGCGAGCTGTTAACCCACATAGGTGGTGAGTATGCGGGCCCCCCCAGGTTCCGACTCTAGGAACAGCACGCAGGGTGTGGTGGTCCAGGGTCTCAGGACCTTAAACGTAGTCCAGTCTTCTATGAGGATTAACCTCCACCCATACAACACCCCATACCACACCACACACGACAAATGTCTTTTTTCCCCCAAAATCAATTGGGCTCCTTCAAATTCTCCACACCCCCCAAATTCTACAACCCCTAGTCCGACTTGGGTGACTAGGCCAAGGATGCACCGGGACCTAGCCTTCTCATCACCATCCCCTAACCCAACCTAGCGGGTCAAGCCGAGGATACAGCGCAGCCTATTTTCCAATAAGTTACCTTATAACATTAAATAACTTTACCTGGAACTTAAATTTACTTCATTCCCTCTCAACGTTTATTTACTTGTATATCTAAATTTTCATTGCCTTATTCATTTGTTTTCTCGTATAAGAAAAACTACTACAATTACTCAACCCATAAATAAAAGGGCAATAAGGAAACAAAAATTAGTAACACCAATAAAGATCCATAAAACAATGGAACAAAAATCATTTGTCTAGTAATTTTTAAGTGAAAATCTAACCCTCACAGGGTCTTAAACCCCCTCCCACCAAACTAAAGGCTTTATACTCCAATTAGAAAAATCCATCTCACCTCAATGGAACTAACGAATGGCTATAGTACCAAAAACAATATGTCTCTAACCACCAACAATAAAACCAACTGGCTATGGGACACATCCTGAGGCTTGATCAACCTCGGGCGGGCCTTCCTCAGAGGAGAGTGTCTAGTGATAAATGGTCGAACCACTCTATGAACCTGGGGTCCACTACTGATGATGTGTCATAAAACTATTAACAAAAAAAATGCTAAAATGATTGTTATTATTATTATTTTTTAGAAAAAAAAACCCTAAAATGTTGTTTTGACCTTCTTTCATCCATTCAAAACTACAAATATACAACCTCCATTACCTACTTTTTATGTGTAAACTGGAATCCTAAAAACCTACTTCTGACACAACAACCTAAACCTAATCTCTTTACCCCCCTCTCCCTCACCTCTTACCAGCTTCTACACAAATTCAGATATCCCACTAGACATGGCAGCCATACTGAAGTGGCTTAAGAGGATCTCCTCGACCCATCGTCCAGTTGTGAATATCTTGAAGCTCCTACATTTGAGCCTAACTAAAAAAACAGCTCATGCATGAATTCAGATATCCCACTGGGCACGACAACCATATTGCAGTAGCTTAAGAGGTTCCCCTCGACCCATCGCCCTAGTAAGGGTGTCTTGAAGCTAAGATACATGATTCAGAAATTTTTAATCCAAAACCTCCCTCTGTCCCCTTTTACCCCATCCCTCGCCTCTCGCCTAAACCTGACCTCTCTCTTTACCCCTCACCCTCACCTCTTTCACGATCACAGCCTTCAGTCACAAACAAACTCAAACAAAAAGATAAAAACAGAAACCAAAACCTCTTCAGATAAACAACATGACATGAACTGAGACAACGCAACCAGGAAAGGGAACTAATCAAGCACTGAAGAAAAGAAGACAAAGTCCAAAAACATATACCCAGAAAGGGGCCATGACTTAATTCAAGAACACAAACCAAAACGGACTGAAAAAAAATCAGAAACCAAAACCCATTCTGGAAAAACTAGATGACACCAGCCAGGACAATGTGATGAAAATAGATGAATCAACTACTGAAGAAAACAAAGGAAAAAAAAACAGACAAACTTCGAGGGCGGAAGCCCAAAGAAAGAGACTACAATCTCTACTCAAGAGCTCAAATAGGAACAACCTCTAACCTAACGGAGCAAGTCAGAAAACAATATGACACTAGCCATGACTAGAAGGAATCAGAGAGAATTGACAACGTGCGATGGCCAGTGCATTTCCTTTAACTTCCCACCCCAAACTGCTGTGTTGATGGACACGGCAGGGGAAGTTATCGAGACAGATTTTCAAAAACCTAACTGAACCTGATTCTAGCCTGAACCTTAAAACAAAGTCTGAACCCTCAAACCCCTGCTAAAATGTCCTGACTTTCAAAAACAGTTTTCAGTCCTAAATACTAGCCCTCATAAAGAGATACATGCAAAAGGACACGATACACAACATACGTTTTTCAGTTTCTGAAATGGTCATGAAAAGAAAAAAAAAGACAAGCTCTGTGCAACAAACAATCTTTTTCATTGTTTGAAAATTAAGGTAGCACATTGATGAACTGTGTTTCAGCTATTTGTCTTTTTCTCCTTAATTTTCCATTTTTGGTTATTTTTAAGAGTTATAATAATCATTGAGTGGACTTCTTTAGGCAGCAGCCAGGCCTCAGATACTTGCAATGCACAATATAACTACAGTATAACAGTACTGTCCGCGTGCGTACGAACATAAATCTTCACTTGGTTTACAAAGACGCGTGTTGTTGCCCTATATGGTGATTTGCAGGCGTTTCTGAAGGCAACGTGCACGAGTACGGAGGTGAAGAACAAGTGGGATTAATCAACACTGATATGTGTACGACCCCCGTACGCACTTTTGACAAATACAGATTTTTTTGTACTTACGCACACTCTAAAATTCATGCGTACGACAGAATTTAAAACCTATTCTACACACTGATGATAAATGAGGCCCCAGGTTTTCACAAGAAAGAGGAATGCTATGGTATCTTTCATACATGTGTCTGTATTAACCTTAAAGCTTGCAAACACAGTTTGATCAGTTGATGGACAGAGTAAAACAGTGCATTAGTTGTCATGTGAAAGAGAATAATTGGATTTGTTAAAAAGCATTTTGTTATGATTATTACAAAATCTAGCAGGTGCTAGTTTAAGTTATTCTGTGTGCCTTAGTGGGTATTTTAATTGTGCTTAAGTTTTCCCATTAAATAAGTGAATTTATTAATGATCTCAAACTGATGTGCACTTATGAAGGAAAGTACAAAAATATAAAGTTTGTCCCAAATTTGACCCTTGAGGCACACTATGCATAAAATGAGAAAATAAGATAATGTTTTGGACACATAGAACCTTCTTCTCCTGTTCTTCAACAAACAGAAGAAGAAGCATTTGAAAATGATTTCTGATGTACTCATTCAGCACCTCTGTCTGTCTCATGGGGACAGTGTAACTTGACAGCAGTATCTCTGAAAAGCCTGACAAGTAGTCTCACCATCACTGTTGGTTGGTCCTCTCCTCAGGTAACATCAGTGCTGTTGAATTCAGTGTGGAGGCCACCAATGGGAGCAAAGTAATTGTCAACATCACAGATCATGTGACCGCTCTTCATGATGCTAGTGGAAGGCCGCTCAACATCAGAGACATTCTCCAAAAGGATCTCAAGTACAAGATTAGCTACTACAAGTCCGGAAGCACAGGAAAGGTACAGAAATGACCCGTGAACACTGACACTAATACAAATACAACATTATGCTGAGTGGGAAAAATCCTTATTAGACTGTGAGGCTTTAGTGTTTGTGCTCTTTTTATCCAAAACACTTTACATCGTTTGTAAAACCACCAACCTAAAGTAGGTCAAGATCCTCACTTTGAGGCAGAAGACAAACATTTTGATGCCATGTAACTTAAGAGATTTAATGTCTGGCATCATTGCCATGTCTGGGCCAGCCATGTCCCATGTTCGGAAGGTTCATTGTTTTGTTTTAATTGTTTGTGATTATGAAATAGTGGGTCTCCTCCTCCTACTTAAGTCATCTACATGTTCACAGTGAGAAAAGGAATGGCGTACAGACGAAAGCTTCCTAACTATTGCTTGGTAATTCTGCTCATCTTTTTTCTTTGTCAACAACAAAATGCCAGAGGGGCCTAAATGGCAATGAGCAGTGGAAAGAAAAACACTTTTATGTTCTCTGATGTGTTGTGTTTTCTACCTACTGCTCCTTTACTCATTTTTGGTTTTTAAGTTCGGCTATTTTGTTGCCTTTCTGGAGTAAGTCTGTGACTCACTATTTAAAAATTGCACCCACAGAAATCCTTCAGGTCAGTCCCATCACTCAAAATTTGTTGAAGCACAAACAACAACGTTTGCTACGGTTGACTTTCATAGAATTGATCAAAAAGCTTAAACTTAAGTTCTAAACACCCTTGTCTCTCATTGCAAAAATACTTTTCATACTTCCTTTTCCCACTGTGAACATGTAGATGACTTAAGTTGGAGAAGGAGACCCAATAGTTCATAATCACAAACAATTAAAACAAAACAAAACAAAAAAAGCACAGTAATTATGGACTATCTTGCTTGTCCATCTAATAATACCAGTTAATTATAAGGNCAAGGTCAAAGTACATCAGTGTCAGATCGCACCATCCGTCGTTGTTTGAGCCAAAGTGGACTTCATGGGAGACGACCAAGGAGGACACCATTGTTGAAAACAAATCATAAAAAAGCCAGACTGGAATTTGTCAAACTGCATGTTGACAAGCTGCAAAGCTTCTGGGAGAATGTCCTCTGGACAGACGAGACAAAACTAGAACTTTTTGTCAAGGCACATCAGCTCGATGCTCACAGACGCAAAAATGAAGCATATCAAGAAAAGAACACTGTCCCTACTGTGAAACATGGAGGAGGCTCTGTTATGTTCTGGGACTGCTTTGCTGCATCTGGCACAAGGTGTCTTGAATCTGTGCAGGGTACAATGAAATCTCAAGACTATCAAGGTATTCTAGAGAGAAATGTGATGCCCAGTGTCAGAAAGCTTGGTCTCAGTCGCAGGTCATGGGTCTTGCAACAGGATAATGACCCAAAACACACACAGCTAGAAATACCCAGGAATAGCTAAGAGGAAAACATTGGACTTCTCTGAAGTGGCCTTCTATGATCCCTGATCTAAATCCTATTGAACATCTGTGGAAGGAGCGGAAACATGCCGTCTGGAGAAGGCACCCTTCAAACCTGAGACAACTGGAGCAGTCTGCTCATGAGGAGTGGACCAGAATACCTGCTGAGAGGTGCACAAGTCTCATTGACAGTTACAGAAATCGTTTGATTGCAGTGATTGCCTCAAAAGGTTGTGCAACAAAATATTAAGTTAAGGGTACCATCATTTTTGTCCAGGCCTGTTTCATGAGTTTATTTATTTTTAAATAATTTAAAGCAATGTCTGATTTTCATTGGTTAATTTTCCTAGATTTTTTTATTTATTATTACTTTTGTCAGATTTAAGTTATTTCTGCGACCATTGCGGGTTTTTCTTTCATTAACCGAGGGGTACCAACAATTTTGTCCAAGTGTGTATTCACACCTACGGACAATTTAGAATCACCAATTAATCTCAGCATGTTTTTGGACTGTGTGGGAGGAAGCCGGAGAACCTGGAGAGAACCCACGCTGCATAGTAAGAACATACAAGCTCCATGCAGAAAGATCCCAGGCGTCCTAACTGGGACGCAAACCTGGGACCTTTTAGCTGTGAGGTGACAGTGCTAACCAATGAGCCACCATGCACCTCAGCAAGAGACATGTTGATTGAATTTTGGGAGTACAGTCTTCAGGCTGAAGTGATTTAAGTCAGCAGTCTGAAGTTTGCTAATGGCAGCGTGGAGTTCATTCATTGCGAGCTTAGCATCAGGATCCCAGGAGAAATACATGGCAGTCATAACAGCAGCAGTGAACTTACTGCACAGATAGAAAGGTCTACACCTAACCATGAGACATTCCGGGTTAGCAGAACAGTGCATCTCAATTAACACGGTGTTTGTGCACCAAGCTTTGCTAAAATAAATGCACAAACCCCCACCTCATGGTAAATGGTATGGCTTCCTTCTACCTTAGTAGTACTCAGCACAANTAAAGGATTATCTTATCTTAGACGTTTCCGTATTGCAACACACCTGACTCAAATTAATGGATCTCCAACAGCTTGTTGTCAAGTTCTACACAAGTCTGTTAGTGATCCATTATTTGGGTCAAGTGTGTTGCAATACGGAAACGTCTAAAACCTGCAGGACAATAGCTCACGAGGACTGGAGCTGGAGATCCCTGATCTAGACAAAGCATTAATCATGAAGTTTTTTGAGAAGCGATGGCCTATTTCAATGACAAAATTTTAAAAAACAACCCAAGAATCAACAGTTCAAGTTCATTTGTAGTTCTAAACATATTTAGGGTGTTTTTTACTCATTTTTTGTCTCTCCCACGACGTTATTCCTCTCTCCTTCATTGTCTGTTGCAATTACATGCAAATTGCCAAGTATGTAAATTAGGTGATGTCGCCATTTAGCAACTTCTAGCAACTTTTAGGACAGCCAGTCGCTACTTTCCTTACTGAGGACTTGGCAACACTGGGCTCTATAAACCATGGAGAGCCCAGTGGTCTGGCTGTGTCCGCTGGTATGTTGTGGGAATCCCAGTAAGAGGAGGTCTTGATGAGGTTTGCCCGACAGACTATGGTTGAAATAATAAAAAAGACACACAAAAACAAACAAACAAAAGCACTGAAAGGAAGAGCTCTGAGCCGCCGCAGCTATGTGTGCCGCCATCGTAGATCTATCCCTATCGTAGATGGTGCAAAGGAAAAATAGAAAAACTCTTAACTGCAAAGACTGCCAAAGAATTCAGCACACTGTTCGGCATGTTTATAAGTGAGCTTCGGAGGGATTGGTTGGGGAATTTTGTTACCTTTGGGTAGGGTAGTTGTGTCCCCCTGTTTAGTCTTTAGGCTAAGCTAATCTTTAGGCTGGCTGTAGCAATACATTGAACACAGAGGACAATTTCCCCAAACATCAAACTACTGATTTAAGGAACCAAATAACTACAAACTTCACACTGTGGTTAGTATTGATTCCTGGTTTTAAAAGAAAATACTGAGTTAATAAAGATAAAATTGAAATAGTGTGTGTAACAGTACATTAAAACTATAGGTATCATTTTTAGATCTGATATATAAATTAGAAAACGTGTCAGTCTGAATGGTAAGTTATACAGATGTAAAAGTAAATGACTATAATGTGTTTTATTCCTACCTAACAGAGAGACATCATAAGTGATTCCAGTGTGGCAGAGGTATCACAGCTAGATTCAGGACAAAGTTACTGCTTCATGGTGGCAGCTTACATCCCGTCCAGACCCAAAGCCACCCAGCTGGGAACCTGGAGCAAACAACAGTGTGCATATGTAGATGGAAACGTCCTGCAAGGTGCGCACGATACAGTATACTAAATTACACTACACTACACTACACTACACTACACTACACTACACAAGACTACACTACATTATACTACACTACACTACACTACACTACACAAGACTACACTACATTATACTACACTACACTACACTGCACTACACTACACTACACTGCACAGGGAGTGGAATCCATTCAGTTCACTGAATAGAATGAAATGATAACTTACTCCAAACAGTCACAACTTTAGAGCCACCTGCCTAATATTTTGTAAGTCCCCTTTGTGCAGCCAACTCTGACCAGACATGGACTTTGCATGTCAACCCACATGTGATGGATAAAGTTGCAAAAACTCTTTGCAGCTAGAAATCAAACACTTTGGCAATGGCAGGACCACAGCCACAGATTCAGAAATACCAAGTCCTGCTTATGTTTTTTCGGATAAAACCTTTTATCTAGTGTGCTTAGAAGAATGACCACAAAGTACATCAGCAGGAAAAGCTATAAAACATTTCATTTCTATATTTCCTCCCAAAACTCTATGTATATTCTTAGGCCTTAATTGCATAGCTTGGGTCATTAGTTATCTGAGGTATATAAATACACACTCAACTGGTATTCCTCAACCTTTTTGTCTTCAGCATTGTTTTTTCCAAATGTCAAAAATACCACTCAAAGTTACAGGCTCCCATTCCAATAGGAAAAAAACTCAAAAACAATGAATCCCCAGATTCATCTAATTTAATAGACAAAGTGAAATACAATGTGTTCCTTTCTGACCATCAATGATATAGAACACGTCTCCAAGCATAATCTGACAGAAAGCACCATCCATCGATCCATTTTCTTCCGCTTATCCAGGGTTGGGTCGCGGGGGCAGTAGGAGGAGTAGGTCATTCCAGACTTCCCTCCCCCCAGCGACGCTTTCCAGCTCTTCCTGGGGGATCCCGAGGTGTTCCCAGAGAGATATAATCCCTTCAGCGAGTTGTGGGTCTGCCCCCGGGTCTCTTCCCTGGTGGACGTGTTCGGAAGACCTCTAGAGGAAGCCTCTCCAGAGGCATCCGAATCAGATG